CACCCAGCTGCTAGGCACTGGCTCTCCTATGCCCTTTCTATGCCCTTTCCACGTTCTTTTGGGTCTAAGGCAGACCATTTGCCTAAATGGGACTTGAAGACTTGGGTCAGGTTACTAGGACTAAGGGATGTGACTGGGTGGGACAGAGAGACACAGGAGGGCGAGGGACCAGACCTGGTGGGGGCTCTTCTTCCTGGTGTCATCCCCATTAGTGGCCTGACCAGAGCCAGGCTGTCAACTGACAGATCAAGGTGACCTCAGTGCAAACACCCATAAACCAGGCACACAGCAGGGGTGGGGACAGAGAAGGGCTAGGGGTAAAGAATGGTCGAACCTTTGGCCCCTGGGATCACCCTGACAGTCCCCGGCCCCTGTTGTGAAACGTACTTCCCCAGCAAGTTGCCCAGGACAGGCTCTGGGTGGTCTAGTTCTAGGGTCCTGGAACAGATGGTAGAGAAAGAAGAGGGGGGTGGCTCGGAGAGTCACATGGACAAGCCAGGAAATCCCCTGGAGGAGGGAAGTTAGCTTGGGCCCAGTCTGGAGATGAGCTGCCCTCAGCTAGGAGGCAAATGGAGGTGGTCGTAAGCAGGACTAGGGCTGAGCTGCTTGAGGACTCAAGATGGCGGAGCAGAGGACAGGATGCAGCCACACTGAACTCGGGGCCTCGGGCTTTCTGTTTCAAACGGGAAGGCGCAATGTCAGGGATGTGGCAAGACTAAAGTGAGGTGTTGTGGCACCAGGTGACAGCAGTCACCTGCTCTTTCTGGCTTGGGGCTCTTCTTTGCCTGGGGGGCACGGGCGTGTACAATGGTAGGAGGGTACAGGCAGATGCAGCGTATTTTGAGGGGACAGACAAGAAGCCCAGGGGTGCCAGAGTTGCCTGCTGAGATCAGAGGGTGGCCAGACTCACTGGGTTCGCCAATTGGCATGGCATCTAGAGTCAGGAAACTTGCCCCTTGCCCCTTCAGTTGCTTTTCCAGCTGTTGCCTCTGGCTGGTCCTGGTGGCTCCTCTAAACGCCACTCCCCAGCCCAGAGCCCTGGGGTGGTGACAGAGAGCTGTGATTAGAGACTCATTTGTCCAGGTGGCCTGCCTTCTGTCCTTTCTGGAGGGGTGGCCTGGGGTAACTAGCTCTGGGCAGGGAGAAAGGTCAAGGACAAGATCTGCAGCCAGAGGAAGGCACCTTTGCACCGACAAGTGAGAGATGAAGGACTAGACTCTAGGTGCCGGAAGGGCAGGCCCTTGCCCCGCCAGCTGCAGCCCAGGAGTTTGGATGGGAACGTGAATGTGTGTAAGACTAGAGGGGAACTGGAAAATATGCACGTGGCACACAAAGCATGTGTGGACTGGAGCAAAGGTGTGTCACTAGGGATAAGCGCGTCTCCATGGGAGGCTCTGTGGAAGAAGGAAGTTTCCATTGAGTAAGCCCCCTGGTAGGGCAGGGGAGACGCTAACCAAACCTTGTCTGCACATTATCTCATTTAATAAAATTCCTCCAGGCCAAGAACAGTAACAAGCCCCCAGATGTGAGGTGCTTTGCCCAAGGGGATAGAACTGAAAGTTAGCCCCTCCCTTCCCTCCTATGGGCGTGAGCAGCTGGGACCAGAAGGCGCAGCTCCATGGTGTGTGTGGGAGGAGCATGCGCACATGCCGTCCAGTGCCTGAGGCTTCCTGCTGCTACCATATGTTTCCTTACATACCTGGGCCTGGAGCCCCACAATGCTTGGCACTTCCGTGGACAAGGCTTGCTCAGCTCACTAGCCTGGCCCGTACTTAGGAAACACAAGTGGTCTTGAATCCTGGTGTGCACGTGTTTATGCTGACATGGTGACCGGGGAGCTGTGGGCTCTGGCAGTCTGGTGACTGGAAGGGCTTGGATAAGAGAATAGCATTCCCCCACGGATCCTCTAGGGCTCACGGAGGGAATAATTGTTTCCCTCAGTCAGGGACCTGGATCACTACAAACTGAGGTCCTGCCAGGGTCTGGCAGGGGTGGGAACTTTCAGTGGCCAGCTCTGGCCGAGGCAGAGAGTAGGTCTGGCCATGGCCCTGAAGTCCCTGAGGCTAGCGTGGGCAGGCTGAGGCAGAAAGGCCATGTTATGACCAGAGCTGGGCAGTGTGTGGAGCAGGTCAGGACCTAAGAATCCAATCCTCGTTTCCTCCACTGTCCCCTCCTCCCGAATTAGAGGTCAGCACACTCAGAAGCTACTGGCTTCCCAGGTTTCCCAAGTCCGGGAGCAAAAATCACAACCATGCAGCTCCCACTTAATTTGGGGCTGTTGTCTGGAGAGGCACAGGACATGGCAGCCATGGAGAGGAAGATTCTGGGGCCAACCTGGGCTTAGCACTAATGATCCTGTCTGAGAAGAACTTTAGCTTGGGGACAAAATCAATGGCCTTCCCCAGGCCTGGTGACCTTCTGAGACCTGTGAGTGAGGAGCCGTGGTCTGAAGGCAGCTGCTGTCCAGGCCCCCATCCAGCCTGTGACTGTCAATGAACCGAGAGAGCAAGCAAGCGCAGAGGGCCACAGTGTGTCCATCTGGGCTGTGCAGAGAATGGCCAGGAGATGTCCTTGTCCATGGGAGTGCCAAAGTACACGAGACTGGGGATAGAGACATCAGAAACCGAAGCCTCTTCCCCCAGGGAAGAGTCACTTCTTCAACCCTGAGCCTTAGTTTCCCTCGGAAGTAAAAACAGGGACAGCAGAACTGACCTCAAAGGGTGGGGAAAGCAAACGGCCTGACGTCGGTGGTTCCTGCCGCAAGCCGCTGGCTGCCTTTTAGATTCATGCTTGGTTCCTCTTGATGGCGTGGATCTCAGGTGGGCTGCTGGCGTGTCTTGGGTGGACTGCTGGCGTGTCTCGGGTGGACTGCTGGCGTGTCTTTTCACCTTTCTCATCTCTCTTTGTTCCGCTTACATCCCAGTGCAGGGTCCAGTTGGGAACACAGAGAACCTAGACTACGGACCCAGAGCCACCGGGTGGGGCAAAGTCTCCATCTCCAAAGGTAGGAGGGACTCAGCCTCTTCCCTTCTACCCTGCCCGACATAGATGACCACATTGCAACTACAGAGGTGGTGCTTGGAGACTCGTAGCTCCACTCCCATCAGGGGAAATGGTGGACATGGAACTCATATAAATGGCAGAGCACTTTTAAAGAAAGGCGCTCAATCAATTATCTCCATAGAAAAGCCGCAAGAAGGAAGAAGAATTCAATTCTTGATAGAGCCCTTGCCTAGTAAGTCTGAGGCCCTAAGTTAGAGCCCGGATTCATTAAAAAGAGAAAGAAAAGTGGAGAGGAAGAGTCAGGTAAGGAGGGGATAGAGGAGCATGAATAGGAAGTCATTCTATCCTTGGCAACCCCCAAAAACCAAGTCCCAAATCCAGATCTTTCCCCTAGATCTTTCCAATCTTTCCTACACCGAGTGGCGCCTCTCGCTAAAGCCACGCCTGTCCCTGTTTGTGTGCTCAAATTCAAGTGCCAGGCTTGCAGGGCAAGCTCTGGGTCTGGCCTCGGCTTGTCCCGGGAGCCTGCAAGTCTACAGAAGGCCAGCAGGGGGAGACATTGGCACGTGGGTACGTCCGCTGGGACCTGAGGAAGGCGAGTAGGTCAAACCGGGAGGGGGGGGGTCTGAGCTATGGGATTGAGCCAAATTATAAGCAAAGAGACAAGGAGGGGCGGAGAGAATGGGCCAGGGCTGGGAGACAAAGCCCCAGATGGTGAGGCCGAGGCCGGGAAAGGCTGGAGTCCGGAATCTCAGGGCCCAGATGCCCGCTTATGCTTTTTCAAAGGGCTTCTGCTCTGCTCCTTTTCCTCTCTACCCTCGAGCTTTCTGTATAGTCCTGACCTTTTGTCCCTATTCGCCTACCCCAGGCCCTTTCGTGTGCCTTCAGACAAGACTGACTAAATCTGTGTACCCGGGTTGGGGGATAGGGAGTGTTCTCACAGGGCTCACTGTCAAAGATGAGATTCTTAAAGGCTTGGTCTCTAGATGCAAATAAACTCCCGTTGCCCTTTGGACACAGTACTTTTTCCTAGTCTCCAGCACCCAGAGCTGACACTTTTGTTGTGGTCAGTGAAAGGAAGGAGTGCATTTCGAGGGTGGAAAGAGGTCTCAGCAGAGTGTGGGTACTGGCAGGAACAGACAGACTGATTTGGCCACAGAAGTGGGAACAGTGGGATTCTGCGGCTGGTACGCGAGTATGTGTATGCATAGGTGGGGGGGGGGTGTGCGTAGGCGCGCGCGTGAAAAAGAATGCAAGAACTATGCTTTCTGGAGATACTTGGGACAGGGCTTGTCTGGTCTAGGTCAGTGGGCCGGATGGTGACCAGGTGTGCGTAAAAGAGAGCAGGCCAGCAGCTTTTGAAAAGCGCCAGCTTCCCAAGAACGCCCTGGGAACCAGACTAAGCGGGGCACTAGCATAACCGCAAGAGCCGCACGTTGAGATTAATGCCATCGAGAGCGCAGCGTCCTTAAGAGCTCCCCGAAGCCCCGCCCCTTCCTGCTCTGTGGGCGTGGTATGGGGCAAGGACCCCGTCACGGAGCTTTCTATTGGTTCGAAGGAGCAGGGTTGGCCTTGTGCTCGCCTGAGCAGGGGTGTAGAAAGCTCAGCGGCAGCGGAGGGAGTCTAAGCGCGATGGACAGCAGTGGGGGGTGTGTGAGATTCGCACTGGCTGCAGACACTCGGGCTCAATCGCCGGGGATTAAGGACTTGGCGACCGGGCTGCCGGGCTACCCGGCCGAGGCTTCAGAGGTGCAAATTGGTGGGACTGGTTTGCTCAGCAGGGTCGTGCTAGTCTTTTAAGTACACTGAGAGGGGCCGGTGCTAAAGTAGAAGCTGTCGTGGGACGCGCGGCGCGGAGTCCCACTGTGGCCCGGAGGAACGGAGTCCGTGCTAGGGGGACTCACTCCGTCGGGAGCCTCGGGACCGAGCTTGGGTTATTGGGAGATATCCCCCCTCTTCTTCCCCGAGGCGACAATCCCAGGACCATCGAGGCATCGGGGCAACCACTGAGCGCTCTGCGGGGAGACCCCGTCGGGGAAAGGACTCGAGGTCTCAAACAGTCTGGGGGAGCCAAGCGGAATCCGGCGGGATCACTCGGGGGCGGCGAGCCCCCGTCGCGCCTCGTGCGGCGGAGAGGCCAGGGGAGAGAGTCCGCGGAGGCCGCAGCTCATGTCCGTGTTGGGGACGTCTGCCCAGTGAGTCCTCCTGGCCAGCCGGGCGCAGGAGAGCGACCCCGAGGCCGGCGGGAGGGGAGTACTTCAAGGCCGGCGGCTGCGGAGGATGGGCGCCTGAGTGGCTCCGAGCGCTGCGCGGCACGGGCAGGCGAGGCGAGCTTTACTGAGGAGGCGCCAGGGGATCCTGAAGTGCATCCTGCCCCCGGGAAAATGGCCCGGCCTGGGCAGCGTTGGCTCAGCAAGTGGCTTGTGGCGATGGTCATGCTAACGCTGTGCCGGCTGGCCACGCCGCTGGCCAAGAACCTGGAGCCCGTGTCCTGGAGCTCTCTTAACCCTAAGTGAGTAACTTATCGGCTCTGGTCCCTGAGGGTGGGAGGCACTCCTTCGGGGTGAGGTCGTGCACCCCCAAGTGCGTGGGGGGGTATCCATAGGCCGTCCGGCGCCCTGTTTTATGTCTGGCCTTTCCTAATGTTTTCTTGCGGGCAGTCGGGGCAGGGTGCAGAAGGGTGGGGTGGGAGCACTTGACTGTGTTGTGACCCTTCGGTTTGGCCCTAGCTTCCTCAAGTCCCAGATCGAGTCGCGATGATCACACCAGGCAGATTAGGATGTCTGGGCGCTCGAGAGCGCACCAGAGAGCTGGGTGGGGGCGAGTAAGCAGCCCACTCCGGGGCCCCTGGGAACGTGGTGGTTTTCACTCACAGCCACTCCAGGGGTGAGATCGACCTGAACGAGGGATCAGGCCAGAACATAGGTTCCTCTTTTGCTTAGGTGTCAGGGCGGCTCTGGACCTAGCGCCCCGAGCGAGTGGTAGCATCTGTATCGCTTCTCTGGCTTCTCCCATTTTCATTTGTCTTTCTTCCCTGTTTGTCTCCCCGTCTTTCTCTTTGCCGTCTCTTCTTGCAGTACCCCCCCCCCCTCCTCCATTTCTCTTTGCCGGGGAGGTAGAAAGGCGGGCGCTGCTTCCTGGCTCACAAAGGCGGCGGGTGGAGAAGGGCGGAGTGGAAGAGGGTTTGTTTGAGGAGGGGGCTCCATCCTGTGCCCGTCGGGGGTCCAATTGAACCAGGCAGCAGAGCTTCTTCGAGAGCCAGCCAGGGCTGAGAATGGTAGTGGAGCCAGCGAGGGAGGTGGGTGGGGAACGTGATTCCTGTCCAGGCAGGTTCTAGTCACCCCCCCCCTCAAGATTGGAGAGCCTTGCTTAGATTTCTCCAGTGGTGGGGGGGGAGTGATATAAAGAAGGGCCTTTTCTTTCTTCTCCTTCCCCTTCCTAACTCTGCCCCCTCCCATCTCTAAACAACACACACCTTTCAGGGCGGTGGCTCAGTGGTTTCTGGGCTGTTGTGACCTCTGGACCCTTTCTCTTTTGGCATCTAGGACTCAGATTGGAACTCAGGGTCATAATTGCTCTGCCCGTTTTCTGGAAGTCCAGGGAGTGTGTGGACGACACAGTTAGTGGAAAACTGGGGGGAGGGGGGTGACTGTTCCTTCCATGTTCCCATATTTCTGTTTCTGGAATTTCCTCCTGTCCACTCTTGTGGGCTCCCTGCTAACTTCCTAGGTTCTCGCCTGCCTTTGCCTTTTGAATCCCAGGGATGGTGTATCTCTCACCCCAAAAGTGAGAGAAGAGGGCTTCTTGTTTTCTCTTTGGTTAAGATAGGGTCCCATTACCCGTTGGTGGCTAAAGGGGGGTCAGGGTGAAGGATTTTGCCTCCTTACAAGGAAAGGGACTGGCAAGGATTTCTACCTTACTTAGAAGCCACTTTGGTTACTGTGCCTTAACTGCTGGGACTCAAATGGTTTTGGGGACCCCTCTAGGCTATTAAGCCCATGGGGAGAGCTTGTAAAGTGCCCAGTTCTTTTCTGTAAGGGTGGAGGCTGGAAATGCTCCTTAGCGAGGAGAATTGCAATCCCCCTAGGGTAGCCCATCCTAGGGGCTCATGGGAGTGACCTAATTGCTCTCTTGGGTTGAGATACCCTGCAACTCCACAGCTGGAGAGGTGCCCTCCTGCAGAGTTGGGGCTGCTGGGAGAAACAAGATCTACAGAGCATCCCTCTTTATGTGTTCTCTGCCTTTAGAGCTCCAGAGCAGTTAACCAGCTAGAGAAGGTTGTGTCCCCTCTGCTCTCATCCTGTCCAGCTCAAGCTGAGGCCAGGCTTCCTGGGGTGGGGAATGGGACTGACTTTGGACTCAGTAGAACCTGCCTGGATTGTGTCCTGTAATGAACAGTTTCTGGGAACAGTTTTGGACTGATCTGGTGGTGCCCCCCCCCTCCGTTTCATCTAGGCTCAGGGGTCTGGAATGCAGTCTGTATCCGCGTTTGTTGGCACCAGGTGCAGGGCAGGAGGACAGGACCCAGGCACTGCCCTGGGCTCGGGGGGCCTGCCTGTGCCACCGCACCCAACCCCTGGGCTGCCACAGCTTTTCTCATAAACGCTGTCTGTCCTTCTGCTTTCTTGGGTCCTGCCTGAGTTCGCCCTCTCAGGCCGGCATTGTTGCCCTCTCCACCCCGTGAGAGTGGAGCTCACCTCCCTCTCCAGCTAGGCTCGCCTGCTCTCCCTCTTTCTCACACTCCCTCTCACTCTTAGTCACTCTCTGCCTCTTTTTCTCAAGTCCTTTTGTTTCTCGCACATGCCCGTGCTTTCCCTCGCAGGCTCATTTTCTCTTATCCCTCCCCTCTTCCTCTCCTAGCTTTTTGGTCCCTCTCCTCAGCCCTGTCAGGAGCTGGCACCCCTCCCTCTAAATATCTCGCAGTGCCTATAAACCCTGCTTAATTGCTTCCTCTTTGAGAAAAAAAAAATCAAAATAAAGAAGTGATAGGGTCTGCTTCTAGGTTGCAGGGCACATGCAGCCCTGGCCCTGGGGAGCTGCAAGAGCCCGCTGAAGGCTCCCAGCCTATCTGTCTCTTGAACTGCTGCTAGGGACTGTCAGGGTAGTGGTCCCTAGGTGATGGGAGCTTCTGCCACCTGGGTCCCTCCTGGCAGATGTGCCCCAAGAGTAAAGGGTGAGAAGATGGGTTTGATTCCACTGGGGTTTGGTGAAAACTGGAGCAAGTATGTTCGTGGCCTGGGGGCATGGCCTAAAAGGTCTCAGGGAAGCCACCTCCCCCAGCTGCTTCCCCTCGGGAACTTGGGGCAGCCGGTAAGCCTCACACTTGAGTCCTCCGCCAAGTCCATCTGCTGCAGTTCAGTCTTTTGGTCCCATTCTGACCCTGTACTGCCCCCCCACTCAGGTCCCCCCACATCCAAGGACTGGGAATGTGTTTGAGATCACATTACAAACCTTCCCACAATGGGGGTGGGGTAGGGAGCTCAGTTTGGCATCCAGGACCCTTGACTCCATCCAGCATGGGTGGGGCAGCTGCAGACCCCAACTCCTGCTTGCTTTCTCCAAGCTAAAGTGGTGGCCCCAGCCCCCTCACAGCTGTTCCAGCTCGTAGTCCTGGGGAGGCCAGCCCAAGGGACTCCTTTCCAGAGTTTCTCGGAATAGTCAGGTATTCTAGTTTATGTCTGATTGGCCACAGGTGAGAGGCCTGGGAACCCAGCAGTTCCTAAGACTTCCTGTCTCCTGACCCCACCCAGGGAAGCTAGGCAAGGGCCTATGAGGAAGCTGGGGTGAGACCTTAGTTGGGGGTTCCCTTTCTTCTCTTGGGCTCTTGGGGCTCTCCGTTGCCTTACCAGCTCGGGTGCATGGGGATGGCTGGGCCCTGGGCACTGCTGGATCAGTGCAGCACTTTTCTGGGGTTAGGGCTATGTATGGGGTCAGTGGGCCAACCAGAAGGCTGCTGGTTGCCATGGGAATACCAGGTTTGAGGGCTAGCGCTAGCTCACTCTGTGGTTAAAAGGGGATCTGAAGTGGAGGCTGCGCGCCAGCAGCATTTTAAGACTGTGAAAGACCCTTCTCCCTAGGATGTTTCTGTGGTGGTGGTTTGGGGTCAGGGTGCCAGCAAGCCAGAGGTGGGAGCATTTTCACCTTGCTTCTTCTGAACGCTACTGTGGTTGGCATGCTAAGTAATAGGCAGGTAGTACCTTGCTTCTTACAATGTACTCTCACATATGATCTCATCGGGTGCTCCCAACAGCCCTGGGAAGTCGGCCTTGGCCCCATTTTCCAGAGAAGGAGGCATATGCCCAGGAAGGGGAACTGACTTGTTGAATCGGGGAGAGCTGTGCCGAGTGCCATTCTTTCCAGGCTGGCCTGCTGCAGGGAATAGGAATTCAAATCAGGGTTGGAAAGAGACCTCTACTGCCCCTGGGCTCTCCCCTCTCACCTCCCAGGCGGGCCTGCATCTGCTCTGTGTATAACTCAGGCCCTGCCTCTTGTAGGGTAAGTAGTGTTCCAGCCTCTTCATTTACCTTCCCTAGGCTTAGCTCTGAGGGCACCCTGCACAGGTGACCTAGCCCAACTCACCAACCAGCACGCTGCCCCTCCCAGCTCTGAGTAGTTCCTTTGGTTTCTCTCTGGGCCAGGAATCTCTTCCTCTTAGGAACTCTGGGAGGTGAGGCGGGGAGCGGGGAAAACATGGCAGGGGGAAGACTAAACCCCAGTGGACCAGCTTTGATCAGGTGGGACAAAGAGGCGGGCATAGTTCATGTAGGTGGGGAGAGTGACTTCCTCCAGGACTCTCTGGCTTGCCTGCCTCCGACAGAGTTGTGTGTGTGCCAGGGCCCAGCTGCTGTTCCTGCCCACCCACGCCTGGGCGGGCACTGCTGGGACACGCCAGGCCTGCTCCTGCTGCCTCGGGGGCTGGGTGGAGCAGGGGGAGTGAAAGAGGAGCCTTTAATTTGGGGGCTCCCCACCCTAGCTGGGATGAGAGCAGACTTGAGTTCTGGCTTGGGGTCTGTCCCTCATCAGTATTACTATCCTGGGGTGAGAACAGGCCTAGTAGTGGTGGGGTTACCAAACTAAAATTGTGGCGGGAGTCTCCTACCGCATTTAGACTTGCAGGACTGAGAACTGGCCTCCCACTGAAACCTCTCTGGGAGAGCCCAAGCAAGAGGTTGAGGGAAGAAAGACAGGCCTGGTGGGGCAAGAATAGCTTTCTAGGCAGAAGGGTCCCAGCTGCGAGCTCGTCCCCTGTAGTATAGGTGACAGACAGGAAGGTAGAGACGAGTGCATCTGAGCTGAAGGCTATTAGTGAGGGCTGTTAGTGTCTCATCATTTCAGGGCCTCGGAGGCTACTGTCCCCAGAGCCCGTGGGATTTTCATAGCTCGGGATTTGCGTAGTTTTCAGCGGCATTTCCAATCAGATCGGATGAGGGAGAGACTTGGGCTAGGGAGAGGGCAGTCGCAGGACTGGAGCTGAAGTAGTTCCAACTGCCTTCCTAAAGTCCTTTTACTCCCTGGGGTGGCTCCCTGGGGTCCCAGGGCTATCAGAGGCTAGGCAGGGAAGGCCTCGGGTTGCCATGGTGACCTGCTTTAGGTTTCCTGCAGGGCCATGTCAATCCCCTTATTTTTTAGAAAAGGGCTTTGTCTGGGGGTGGCCCCAGGCAGGAAAGCTTGGCTTGATGATGGGGGGGGGGACAGTCCTTTCTGAAAGGTGGTACCTAAAGAGTTTACGTTAGGGGCCTGTTCCTTTTCCTCTTTTCCCACTCGGTGAGAAAGGGGGAAGATAGGTAGGGTGTCCCTATAAAGTATCACAAACACTGCCTGGCTCTGGGCTTCACTTTCATTGGCTATTCACTCAACCCTTGTTGTGATCCCATGTCTTGGACTTCTCATGGGCCTAAGTGAAATTTGTCCAGTTAGAGGAAGATGCTAAGAAAGTGTGGGATGGGGTCAGGGATTCAGGCCTCATTAGATTCCTCTCCCTTCCACACTTTAGGAGAAGGTGAGTTTTCTTCTGCCGGCTGCTATGTAAATGAGCTGATGAATATTTATGAAGTCTGTTCACTGAGGTTGGAGACACTCTGAGGGGTGTTGGGGGCAATAGTCCTTTCTTCTTCCCCTCCCCCCACCAAGCAGACATCTGTTTCCTCAATGTGTCTGGGTTCAAAGTAGAACCCCAAGTAGCTAAAAAGCCCTGCCGAATGCTGGGGCTCTGGAGTCTGGGTGGGTAGCTGTGAAAGAGTGTATTAGAGAGGACACATTTCTCTGGTGAGAAAGCTGCGGCCCAGTGGTTAGGAAGTGAGCTGGCCTCCGTGTCATCTGCGTAGCTACACTTCCATGTCGTGCTGCAGTGCAGCTGTATAAGGATCAGACACCGTTGAGTCCTGTTAGAGCCCTAGGGATTTCAGCAACATTCCTGAATGGGAACATCTCTCTGATCGTTTATTTCTTCATATTAAGAGTCTAGGCTGGGTCTCTAGGGTTCCTTTGAGCTCTGAAATGTTAAAAATGGTCTGTTCTTGCCACCCGGGGAGAACCAGAGGAAAGCAAAAAATGCCTTGAGAAGTAGAGGCTTTGGTGAAACTTGTGGGCTTCGTACGGCACATGGATGATGGGGTGTTCCATCTCAAATGTTTCCTTGGGCCTCCATGTCCTGTTTGCTTACTCTCTGTCCGCCGAAGAACTGGAGAGGTAGAGACCAAAGGATGAAGTGTCCCATTCTGGCACTGACCCTCCTGTACATCAAGATGGAACCTCTTAGCTTTGTAGAACATCACAGGACATGGAGGGTTTGGTTTATTTTTTCCATCTACTTCAGCCACTTAGTCAAATCCCCTCCCTGCCTAGTGAGGTGTCAGGACAAGGGCACATGTTTGACAATGTGAGGACATCTGCCCAGAGCTCAGTACACTTGTCTTCGCTGTGTCCAATCGGAACCGCATTGTAGGAACCTGTGAACTGGGGTTCTGCACCAACACCCCAACGACACTCTTCTTTGTATGCATCCCTTTCAGCCTCCATTGTCCTTTCTGTTAGGGTGTCTGTCACCGAGGGGATGAAGCCCACACTGCTTGCCATGGCCCTTGAGGAATTTCTTCCAGCCCTAGATAACTATTTCACTTCTTTTGATGCTCTCCACTCTTTCCTGTGCAGGCTGAGTGAGTCATCAGCAGGCCTGGGTTTTGTCTCAGCCATTGCTGTCCACTGTTGCTATGCACTGACGTCTTATCATTTACCTAGTGCCCACCTTCTTCCTGATCTTTGTATGAAACCATCTCAGAGCATTGCAGTGTTATGGTCAGATGGGATGTCTCTTGATGCCTCCCACCCTGGGTATGTGAAGCACCATCTTCACATGTAACCTGCAGATAGCCTAGAGCTGTCTATGGCTAGAGTGTAGGCTGTTTACTTTTTGGAACCAAACCAGATAATCAAGTCCATGAGAGTCAAGGTGTATCTTCTCTTCCTAGATCTTGCCCGAGAAACCACAGAACTTAATGTTGGTATCTGATCTCCTGCTTCTTGGCGGACTATTTCAGAGATGGATTCAATGTTATTGAGTACCTACTGCATTCTAGGTTCTCAGCCACCCCCAGTCCTAGGAGTGAGGGGCCCTCATTTATAAGTGAAGCAAGTTCAAAGAGACTGTGCAGCTCACCCAAGACTATGGAGCTACTAAGCGCCTAGCTTTGGAATTTGGTTCCAACATGTGTTCTTTCTCTTTGTTCCCGGCTTCTGCCTGAACAAGCTGAGAAATGGCCAACAGAGCTTCATTTCTTTACTGTGCTTTCCAGATAGACAGTGAAGCCTGGTCCAAGGCATTTAGTCATCTCCTCTTGGGATCTGTAGTAGCTGCAGTGTGGAAGGAAGAGGTTAGATGACAGGTATGTAGGCGATCCTGTCTTCTACCTGCTGTCCTTGGTAGAAGTACCCTTCTTTTTTTTACTTCCCTTAGTCATGTTGAGTGAGAAACTGGTCAAGTTTGGGGATTTAGGCTCTTGGGATGGGGGTGCATCATCAGAATGATATGATAGAGCTGCTCCTAACCAGAGATGGTGGCCATCAGATCCTGGCTTCATTGCTTGTTCCTATCTCCCCATCATGCCCAAGATTAGTAAGATGTGGTAGTGGGGGGGAGGTCCCAGGCAGGTTGAGCTCCTCTAGCCTTTGGCTGGGAGCTGCGGGGGTGGTGGCTAAGACATGTGTGGGCTTGCTCTCTCTCTCTTTCCCCCTGCCTCCCCCCTGCCTACCCCCTGCCGTGTGTGTGTGTGTGTGTGTGTGTGTGTGTGTGTGTGTAAATAGTAGTAGTGGCCTTTGAAGGAATGTGAGTGTGTTGGGAAGTATGGGGAACAGGGAACCACCTCCAGGGAGCCTGGGCCTGACACATTGGTACCTGTCCCATTTGGCCACGTCAGCCCCCCTGCGGAAATGCCCCATTAGGACAAAGGGCTCCCCTAGCCAGGCATTGCCCCACCCTGCAAAGCACTGAAAGCCTGGCAGCCTTGCCTATGGGCCACCCCTTCCACACCCTGCTGGCAGTGTGGTTCTTTCTCCCCACCCCCACCCCCAGCCTAAGGATAGAGGAAGAACAGAAGGCTGATTTGATATCTCTACCCAGTAAGACTGGTCTGGCCTTCATTTTCATAACCCCTGGTTTTGGGGGTAGCCAGAGATCCCAACCTTGAGGTTGACCATTTTCTTTCTTTTGGGCAGGTTCCTAAGTGGGAAGGGCTTGGTGATCTACCCGAAGATTGGAGACAAACTGGACATCATCTGCCCCCGAGCAGAAGCAGGGCGGCCCTACGAGTACTACAAGCTGTACCTGGTGCGGCCAGAGCAGGCAGCTGCTTGCAGCACTGTGCTTGATCCCAATGTACTGGTCACTTGCAACAAGCCACAGCAGGAAATTCGCTTTACCATTAAGTTCCAGGAGTTCAGCCCCAACTACATGGGCCTGGAGTTCAAAAAGTTTCACGATTACTACATTACGTGTAAGTCCCTACCCACCTGTCGCTCTGTCTCTCACTAGGCTTTGCTCTGCCTTCCTGCTGCCCCCTTGCCTATGGGGTAGTAGTGGCAGCTTCTGAGTGGGACAGGGATGCCACATGCGTATGTTTACAACGCTGCCTGATCTGATCCCCTTTGAAGACACTAGCATGCCCTCCTGGAAGCCTGGCCTCGGAATTCTAGCCCCAACAGTCAGCACACGGCAGCTCGCCTCAGCTCCAGGGCAAGCATGAAAAAGACTTCTATCCGTGTTGCTCTTTCTTTCTTGGGAATGGTAGAGCTGGCAGAATCCTTTGAGGTCAGCCAGCTGTTCTGCCTTTGTGGGGGGGTGGCGCTAGGGCCCCAAGAGGTGAATAGGGTTGAGGATGTAGCTCAGTGGTAATATGTGACTAGCATGTCACATGACTAGCATGTGACTCAGTCTTTAGCCAGTGCCCTCCTCCTCTGACCCCACAAAGAGGTACATTGACACCTTGCCTCATATCATACAAGGAATTGATGGGATAAGATGGAGGCTCTAGCCTGCTCTCCTCACACTTACCTAGGATTCCTTCCTAACTAGGAAAAAATCCTGCTAGCGCTACCAGTTCCATTTATTTTGGTCTGGGCATCATCTCTCAATGAGAAGGCACATCTTAGTATTGCCCCCAGAATCTAGGCCTGCCCACAAGGAGTGATGACCTTAGCAGAGGGGCTCATGGGCCTAGCAAGACTGAGTTACTTCCTATTAGGAAGGAAGTAGAAGGGTTTGGGTGAAGTAGGTAAGAGCTGTTTGCCATGATCCACTCCCAGTGGCTGTTTTTGGCTCTCTGGCTCTCTCCTGATGATCCTGTCAAAAAAGGGGGAAAAACAAGATACACTGAAAACTCCAGTTTCTCATTTCTCTGGTCTTTTCCTGCAGCAACATCCAATGGCAGCCTGGAAGGGCTGGAGAACCGGGAGGGAGATGTGTGCCGTACACGCACCATGAAGATCGTTATTGAGGTTGGGCAAGGTGAGTGCCCAGTTAGGCCTTTGGTATTGGCAGCTGGTTGGGGCATGTTGAGTAGTGGGGAAGTGGTCGGGCTAGAGGAGCAGAGGTCTAATATTCAGGTTGATCTTAACCCCCCGAGGTACCTGAGGGCATCCATGCCGGCAGTCCTCCTCATATACCTTCTCCACCCACAGATCCAAATGCCGTGACACCGGAGCAGCTGACTACCAGTCGGCCAAGCAAGGAGTCAGACAACACTGTCAAGACAGCCACGCAGGCCCCTGGTCGGGGATCCCACGGTGACTCTGATGGCAAGCATGGTAAGCATATATAGGTACTCTGCAGAGGGCATTGCTTGTGCACCCTCTCGGTCTCGTGTGTGAAGTTCCTGCTGCCCTCCCCCTCCCCGAGACTTGCCGTCTATCTCTGGTCAATATGGGTGGCACAGGGACGCAGAGAGTTTCTTCAGCTCCAGCATTGTTTGCAGCCCTTCTGTTGACTGCATCATCTTCTGCTGGCTGACAACTTATTCCCTTCCCTTTCCTCAGAGACTGTGAACCAGGAAGAGAAGAGTGGCCCAGGTGCAAGTGGCGGTGGCAGCGGAGACTCCGACAGCTTCTTTAACTCCAAGGTAGCGCTGTTTGCAGCTGTGGGCGCTGGCTGTGTCATCTTCCTGCTCATCATCATCTTCCTGACAGTCCTACTCCTGAAGCTCCGCAAGCGCCATCGCAAGCATACCCAGCAGCGGGCGGCTGCCCTCTCGCTCAGTACCCTAGCCAGCCCCAAGGGGGGTAGTGGTACAGCAGGCACTGAGCCCAGCGACATCATCATCCCCTTACAGACTACAGAGAACAACTACTGCCCCCACTATGAGAAGGTGAGTGGGGACTACGGGCATCCTGTCTACATCGTCCAGGAGATGCCATCTCAGAGCCCGGCGAACATCTACTACAAGGTCTGAAGGCCCGGCGTGGCCTCAGGCTCCACAGGACACATGGCCTGGACTGGCCTCTCTTTTCTCCTTCATGCCCCTCCCCTTGCCAGCTGTGCCCACCTTTGTATTTAGTTTTGTAGTTTCTTGGCTTTTATAATCCCCCAGTTTTCCTGCCCTCTGGGCTTCGGAGGGGGGTGCTTGTGCCCCTAATCCCCATGCTCTTGTGCCTTCCCCCTCTGGCCAGGCCTCTGGGCTCTGTGGGGGCGCCCTTTCTTGGAGGGCAGGGTTGGACACTGATGGACTGCAGGCAGGGAGGCAGCCCCCTGGCCCTGCCCCCTCCTCATCCCCTTTCCCCATTCCCAGGACTGCTTGTCCACTATCGTCACTGTTTTAATGCTTTTGTGTTCATTTGTTTTAGCTGTCAACTCATTTTCATCTGTTTTTTGAAAAAAAATGGAAAAATGTGCAAGGCAGCTCCTGCCTAGGTCTCTGAGCCTGGCCTGACCCAGCAGAAGAGGGCCTGGGGCAGGATGTGGCCAGTCAGGAGGCATAGGGTGGCAATTCTTTTATAGACTCCTCAGTATTTCAGGGGAGTGGGGGAGGGCACGCCAGGGCTAGTTCTGCCTGTAAGGGAAGAGGGGAGAGCCGCTGGGCTAGGTGTCCCACCCTCCTTTTCTGACCCTCATAATACAATGCTGTTCCTAGCAGTGGGGTAGTGACTACCACCCTTCTACCAAAAAAAAAATCCCTTCCTTGTGGGATTCTTGGGCATCTCCTGCCTCCTTCACTCTCACGGTATTTAATGTCTTAATTGGCTGTTGCCTGGGGAACAGGAGAGCTGCTGCAGGCTGATGACCTCATGGGGGGTGGAGGGAGGTGAGGTGCCCAGGTGGCTATTTGCCCTGCAGAGCTGGGAGTTTCCCCCCACCACCCTCTTCTCTCCTCACCTTTGGCATCTTTGGTTCTGTGGGGAAACAGAGGTCCAAGGTGGAGGAGATCTAAGCGGGTGTAAGGCCACGTGGCTTGCTCCTTCTCTGGGCTGTAGTACGAGTAAGCACACACACACACCCCACTCACTCAGTTTGGCTCCCACCGACCCCCCTAGTTTTGAGCTGGGGCCTGGAAAGAGGAAGAGGCTGCTTGGGGCTGGGCCAGCCTGCAGTGCACTTTGACCCCAGCTCCTTGCCAGCCTGGCTGCTAACAGACTGCCACTCAAGCGCACCTTGCAGGCACTCCCAGGGCTGCCATGGAAGGAGCTGGGCCTTATACCACCCACCTCCACACTGCCTCCTGGCCAGCTTCCCACCCCAGTGCCAGGTGGGAGAGGGAGCAAAACAGCCAGCCCCTTCCAGGTGGCAGTCGGAAGGGATTTTTGTTTTTGTTTCTGTTGCCATTTGTGTAAATACTAGTCTTTTTGGAAGAAATAATGTAAAGATGTTTTGTATAAACTCTGAATTATTTTCTTGTTGCTTTTTTCTTAGAAAAAAAATGAGAACTAAAAAAAAATTAACCACATGGAGAAATGAGTGTGAACTAGTGTCATACTGTCAGGGAATGAGGTGTGATAGTGTGTCTGTACATTTGCCTGCACTTGCGTGCGAGAGATCGCCTTTGCTGAACCGCAGGCAGGGCAGCTGGCTGTCCTGAGAAGCTAGCTGCTTCAATCACCCATGCTATCCCTGCCACTTTCCACCTCCTGAGTGTCTCTGCCTCCTTGTTCCACTGTCGTGGTGCCTGAGTTCATCCATCCATCCTGTCTATCCTGTCACCTCTGTGGCACAGGCCATAGGCACCTGCCCAGTCTGGCACCAGGCTCCGCCAGAAAGGGTTGATGGGGAGGGGGTGTTTCCATGGGGAACCTGGGTGTGTCTGCAGGTACTGCCATCAGCTGGTTGGGAATAAATGTGGAACCTGCTGGCAGGCCCAGCCCTGTCCTGCCCCAGGATGCCTGGAGCTGGAGAGAAACAGCATGAGAAGATGGCCCACTGGGCACTAGGGTGACTTCAGACTGCCCATTCTGCCTCTCAGGCAGAACCCTCCTCCTTTTCCTGCATTCACAATGGAGCCAAACCAGAGGCTCCACCATGGTATACTTGATGGCTTCTGGCTGGAAGTGAAGGCCCCGAAGCTAGAGCAACCCTGAGTGCTCGGGCTCCCTTCTACAGGCCAATGAGGAACCAACTTGTTCAGGTCAGAGTGTAGTGAGGGCCCTAAAGAGGGTTTGGCTCCATCCTATGGCAGGAGGTGCAGACTGGCAGGGCCCAGAGCATCCTGCAGGCCCAAATCAAGGGATTGCCTCTGGCAGTGGCTAAGACAGATATCAGGGGAGGAGGACAAGTGAGATCCCACCAGCTAAAAATGGGTAAGAAGGTGATAGAGAAGAGGAGGAGGAAGGAAGAGGAGGGTGAGGAAGGGATGCAGAGCAGGAAGCCTAGGGGAGCAGGCACTAAACAGACCCAGCTCACGGAGAAGTGGGGAACGTACAGAAAAGGGAGAGGAGAGAAAAGAGGCTGGGCTAGAATAGGGCTGGGCCAGCCTGGGGTGCTGCTGGAGCCAGCTGGGCAGAGTCTGTTTCTTTGGTTTCTCATTAACCAAAGGAAGTGCTTGGATCAGATCAGGCCTCTGCTATTTGAGTGCTTGCCCAGAGTGGGGCCCAGCTTGGGCCGAGGGTCTCTGTCCAGGACTAGCTCTGGACAGATTAGCATCTGACTGACCTCAGGTCGGGTTGAGCCTTACCTATACTTCCCCAATAAAGTGCGCTTTAGTGGTCCCCTAATCTGCTTTTGCCTCAGTCATGTTGGGGTGGGGCGGGGCGGGGGTGGTGGTGGTGGAGACTACAGTCCTGGAGTAAGATGTGGGGATATAAAGAAAAATTTAGTAGAAGACCAAGCGAAGTCTGGGCAGTCTACCCAATCCCAGGAAGCTTGTTTCCTGCTATGCATGCTGTAGCTCGTACTCCTTAGTACACCATATGGCATAGTGGGCTCCACCAGGATCCCACCTGGTACTTTTGTCAAATCGCTCACATAGTCCATCTCTCTTGAGCTGCAGAGATGCTCTGTGAAGGTGGCAGGGAGGGAAATGATTTGCCTCGTATTTTCCAGAGGGAACTGAAAGCCTTCAAGGTGCTTGTAACTCCCCCAGAGGTGTCCACCTGGTGAAGAGGGGCATAAGGACACATAGAAGCTCCCTGAGAGTGAAGCGGCCTGTGACTCCAGTACCCCCCATGCCCCCATTTGCCTCTTGTCTTGCTTTTGGGCCTCATCCTCTTGTGCAGTCAGGGAAGCACCAGGCCTAGCTAGCTGGAAGGAGGAGGGGCGCTCTTCCAGTGGGAATGCTCCAGAGCAGCCCCACCCTCTACTTTCCTTCCTGTCCCAGCTGGGCCCGAGCTCCCGGTGTGTCAGGCATAGAGGATGCTTCCCAGGTGAAGGTGGGGCTGCCTGGCTTCCTCCGCAAGCAGAACCCAAGTGACCTATGAAACCAAATTGAGCAGGTGCTACCCAGGCTTTGGTTCCCCCTGACAGGGATAAGCTTTGTAGAACTTGAAGGCCGAAGCTCCCTTGATCTTGTTGACCCCCAGCCAATCTTAAGGTCCTAGGCTTAAGCATTCATGGTGTTTGTGGGATGGGGATGACCTGGTTCCCCCTAAGCAGGGGCATAAAAGTAGATCCAACAATTAAAGGAGGGTTGCGACTCACCTGGGGCTGTCCTAGGTTGGACCCTGCTAAGTAAGTGGCCCCCCTGGCCACCTGGCATCAATTACTCTCAGAACTCAAGCCCACCCACCTCTTTGCTTGGCCTCCTGTTCTGCTTGGACTTGTCGCAATCCTAGTGACACCCCAGCCCGGTCAACCTGAGGACGGCCCTTGCCCATCTGCTACTGGTTTTCAGTACAGCTGGCCATCATATCAGGGGGACCAGGGCCCACAATGGCACTTGTAACATTGGCTCCCCGCTTTGGGAAACAGCTGAGGGGGAAACCAGCAGCTACCCGAGAAGGGGGTCACAAAGCCCCAAATGAGAGCGATCGAAGGGCAGGGGGGAGAGAATAATTGTAGGTTCTGTTTCCAGTGGTTGATTATTCAGCTGGCACTGGAAAGGGGAAGAGGAAATGCTGGAAGTTATGGGGAAGAAGGAATTTATGAAGGTCTGTGGGAAGGTGTGAGGACTTTGCCATGGGGCCCTTCTATCCAGGGGAAAGAACTCCAGGCTTGTGAACCACCGGACAACTGAGGACCTGACCCTGCTCTGCCATGACTCCTCTTTTGACCAGGCCTCTACCTTTTTTGCAAGGGTGGGGGGAATTCATTTTTCTATCTGATAAGGTAGAGGTAGTATTAAATTTGTTCATTTTCTTAAAAACAATTACAGCGATAGACAACATAGGTGAGATTTCTGATCCTAGGCGCCCCATGTTCTAGAAAAGTCTTTTAGTGTTTGGCTAATTATTTCAGCCTACCTGGTGACTGGCCTGATGGGAATGTGAGAGCAGATTGAACATAGGCAGATTCAAGACCAGGATTCTAAAGTCAGCCTTTCATCCATGAATGTATTCCCCCCCCCCGCCCCCATCAAATGTTGACTACATAGCACACCGCAGCTTCTTCAGAGAGCAGTGTAGTGTAGCCTTTGCTTTACCTGGGTGCTGTGCATGCTGCCTCCATCATAGCTGACCAAGGCTGGCCTCTTGCAAGGTTCCTAGGATGTTCTGCGGCTGCTCTCATCCTAGTCTGCTTCATCCAGCATCGCACCGCCCACCCCAGTGCTTCTGTAGCCTATAGGAAGGAACTGCCCAGCCTGCCATTACCAGCAGCCACATGGCAAAAGGTGATGGGGGCGAGCTGGCTTCTGAGGAATTTCCCATATTTTGTCCAGATCCCTAGGGAAAGGGCTTATGTGACAACTCCAGGCCCAGGAGAAACAAGGGGAGACCACATTGGCTGAATTTTCGCATTTTCCTGTCACCTCCTTTCTAGACTGAACCTCTCATGAAGAAACTGAGGCCCAGAGACTAGAAGACTATGACA